TGTGTGTGTGTGTGTGTGTGTGAGAGGTCGCGGCACATATTCACTGATAATCCGTCAGAACCACGAGCGCTCTGAAACTCTGACGTGCACATCCTCAGGAGTCCACGCCGCGTCAACGCAGACTCTGCTGTGATTGGCCAGCATCAGAAGTCATTAGAAGTCATCAGAAGCATCCGTGTGAGCACACACTGACGATCAGAAGCGTGTCTAACCCGTCAGCGAGGTCACCTGAGCTCTGACTTGCAGACTGTTTAAAACTCTAAAAAGCGAGCGTGCTTTGGAAGCGGCGTTCCTTTCAGCTGTGGCAAACTGTGGGTAAACGAGTATTCTGGTATTTTAAACAGCGGCACGGCGCCGGCGTGTGGTTTATGTTCTTATCAAAACGTTTCCAACATTCCAATAATGAGATGAATGAGGGTCGGCGAACACGTCCGGGAACCAGAGCAGGTCGTGTCTTTGGCTGCGGCGTGCAGGCAGGTGTCAGAGCGATAAAGGAATTTGAATAAATCTCTCCTGACCTCGCTTTGTGTCAGAGCGCAGGAATGCAGCGTCAGCCTGGACGCCGTCGGGACGTCGCAGGTGCGTTTGAAGGCTGCAGGTGAGCAGACGCTGCACAGCTGAGTTCATCAGCAGCAGGTTAAAGGTCTTAAAACACAGGAAGTGCTCTGCAACAATAGAGACGTGCTGCACATGGAATTTCTATTGTTTTTATTTAGCCTTCATTGGACGGCAGTCTGCTCATCTCCAGCTGCACCACGACTCTGATGCTGCGCAGGAGTTTCACACATTGTTCTGAGCACAAGATGGTGGAGTGCCCTCCCTCTCTCCTCCACCCTTCCTTCTCCATCACAGGTGAAGTTCCACGCTTCTCTGACTGATGAGAGACCTGGCGAGCTGCTGCGCTCAGCGATAAACCGCAGTTTAAACCAGGAGAGTCACGAGTGCAGCTGCACGGCGCCTGCGGCATCTCAGAGCTGCAGCCCCGAGGACCATCATACAAACCCCAGCATCAGCTGAACACAAACCCACGGCACCGCGTCCGTGAGCCGGTACCTGCCCGCCACACCACCCCGACCGAAACACACTACTTCCTGCTGGGAGCGACATGTGCACTCAACTAGGTAACATCATCATCTCTTCATTCAGTTTGGCACAAATGTCAGGAGAGCTGTGGAGCAGAGACACCAACCACACGTCCTCCCTTTCACACTCAGTCTTCACTTTATTCTCTTCAGGTCTGCAGCAGGACGTTTGCAGCAGGACGTTTGCAGCAGGACGTTTGCAGCAGGACGTTTGCAGCAGGACGT